TCTGGCCATCTGAGCTTCATTAACAAATGTAGGCGGCAGTTGTTGATGAATACCTGTAGTTTTTTGGAAATGCTTTTCGTAACGCGGCAAGTCTCTGAATCATACGTCAGTGAAAAAAAAATTTGTAGTTGACTCGTTTGTTTATTTCATGCTTCCAGTGACTTTTTTTGTCTGGTGATGTCAAATGCTTCTATCGAAACTAGATTTTGGATAAAATCTCCAGATTCTTGAATCACCCTAAAATATATTTAGCTTTATTGAGCCAAAGGATGAAGTATTTGAAAAAAATTAGCAAGAATCATTTAATGTTAGCTATTTTTACTAGTTATAGAAAGTAAAGATAAATTTCTGACTTCCGTTAAATTTTAATTTAATCTTAGATGGTCTTTGCGATGAGCTACTTGACAAGTTCTCATAGGTCTCATTGATGTCGGTTTGATTAATAATATATTTTCAATCCTTCTAATGTTTAAGAAAATATTATGAATAGCCTCATTAAAATTTTCTGACTACTAATAATCATATACATTCGTTGAAATGACTGTAGAGAAACTCATTTCATTCTGTCTGGTTCATGGTGTTGACTGGATCCTATCAATCATTTGGTAATGTGTTCAACAAGCTGGAAAGTTCACGATCGCAATACAAACTTGAACCTACTTGAACTTTTATATACATAAAAAATAAACTACTGAAAGCATATTTCACCCTTATATGTTAAAGAAATCGACTAGTTAATGAAACAAGTTATGTTGTAGAATTTTTAAGTCCCTTGTCGTACAAGATGAGGATTTGAGTAATATGTTAACTTATTCTACCCGTTATAAAATATATGCATACTTTCAAGATAATTAATTTTGTATATAAAAAGAAATGATGCAAAACTCACAATTTGTTGGTATCTGAAGTATTTAACAAATTGAGCACTTAGCTTGACTTTGATAAGATGAACGTCTAGCTAGTCAAACTGTTATTTGTAATTGGAGATAGAAAATGTTTTTTGCCTTAATAAAGAGTGAAATTTAATGTAGTTTGTGTCCTAATTTAAAACTTAGGTAAAGTAATAACACAAGCTAACTAATGGTATGATAACTTAATGAAATGTATGCCACTGGGAAACCAGAAACGGAGGCAATGAAAAAGAATGACCTATTCAAAATTATTTAGGCATAAATGTGATAAGTCGCGTTTGGAAATGTTATTTCATCTGTACTGCTTACAATTGCACACTAAAAAGATGCCTATACAAATATCTTCCATCGTCACTTAAGATTTTGTTGTTAATGTTTATACAGGTTGATTCCATGTGGACTATCGAAAGAGCAATCAGTAATACAGTATGAGTCCAATACAGTTAGATTTCAAGGAACAACTTTAGGTTTGATGATTTCCTCTGAATATATAGTATACAATTAAGTGTATGAAGGAATAAATTTCATAACATTTTTCTAGGTTACACTTATTTCAGCTATGTTATTAATTTTTACTTAGTAGGCTTATGAGATAGTAGGGAAGGATGATAATAGTTTGTTGTTCGACGTTCCATCATCAGGTTAGATGACTTCGTCAGCATATTTTTCATAAAGAAGTGAAGCATGTTCAAGTTGCATGAAGGTTTAATGAAGGCTATTCACCAACCTTGTACGTCATTCTCCTATGAGATCACTTGTCCTCCGTTTTCTATCTAAGGTTGACCTTAATAATCACTATCGTTTCACCTAAGCTGTTGATCTAGTGTGTGATTACTGACTTAGACGACTGGCCTCAAGTTGGCTGATTCCTTTTAAGTAAGTTGTTTACTGGATAAATGTCTACGTGTCTGTTGAATGCCATTTGATTTGAGTAGCATGCTTCGAGGAATTTTTTTGCAGTTTTCTGTACACCAATTTAAAGTCACGATATAGTTTAAATATCTACAATTAAAATATTATGAAACATGAAATAAACATTCTTAAACGAAGAAGTGGAGGAATGCATACTTTGTTGAAATTCTATTTTATGCATTCACGAAATATTTTGCTAACTGTTAATATTTATCATTTTGACTGAGATAGTCAAGGTGTGGGCAGACTAGTATCACTTCTGGGTGATGATTGAAGGTGAAATGAAAGTATGTATAACACCCGGATTCGAACTAGCAACTACCTTGGTTTTCTGTTTGGGGCTCTATCAATTGAGCTACGAGGTCTAGTTGTTGACTGGATCTTTACAACACTCCGACCACCAATAGTTTTACCCCACCATGATGTTAATTCGTGACACTTTGCCATCACTTGATCATACTCACACTGGTTGCCTAGTCAGCACTTCTCATCCTAATCCAAGCCAGGATCCAAATTTTTATTTCTATTTCAGTCATCACCCAGTATCAGTTAACATTCAGAGGAGAATGGTTAGAAATATAAACTGAGGTTGGAAGTAAATACCAGTAAGATAATTAACACTTTCAGATAAGACAGCACTACATAAATATTTCACAAACCATTAGGTATATAAAGAAAAGTGTTATTCATTTTATCCGGGCCTTCATAAACTGTCAATAACGGTCAGTTACGCGGTAGTTTTTGATGGAAGCTAAAAGCTTTGTTGCAAGATTTGTTTTGACTAACCTCACTGCTCGTTTGTATTCGTCTTCCATAATTAAATTACCGAACTGTGTCATGTAATCAGTCTGTTGCACAACATGTGCACAGCAAGTAAACAGATGTGCATAAATACACTAAGTTTCACTCATCACTTTCAAATAAATACCGAATTTGTAAGATATCCTGCTTTTCTAAATGTTATATTTTCGAAAATATTGTTCGTAGATGTATTTTCATTTCCTTTAATGATAGCAGATGAAAGATGATTTGAACAAAAGGCTCGAAGTTTAACTACACATCTAGGTTGTTTCATTTTAGACATTCAAATATCCCTCTCCCATTCGTTCATATTTCATTGTAACTTTTATGATTTCAATAGTCAACTGTATGAGTAAACTTTATATAGAGCGTGTATAGCGCAGATACTTTATGCTTATTATTATTGCTTGTATTATACCGTCGTTGACTGGTATGAATTGATCGGTTTATATTGCTATATGGCTATAATACAAGTAACATCAAATGAACCATACTCATTGCACAAGTGTCTACCGTCATTCGTTGGTCTAGAGGATTACGCTCTGGCGTTTGAAGTGGTCAGTCTACACTTCAAATCTCAGTGGGAACAACATGACTCACTGGGAAGCCGCTAAATCTAGCTGATGAATCCCAAATAAGATGGGACACGCATCTCGGATCTCTCTGCTAGCTTGATATCCATCAATAGTCCTTCAAATTACTTCTTTAATAAGCCATTTGTGAACTGCATTTCTAGGCGTCAGTGGGTTGTCTAGCTTTTCTTGAATAAGAAATGAAAAGGTAAGGTACCTTAGGGGAAAGAGTATTGTAGTCCGGAATCACTAGATTCATATAACTAAAAATAGACTATCAAAACTACAAAAGGTGGCGCTTCGTAATCTTTAGAATTAGTTCAGAATATGAAGTTGTGATGAACACGAACATAAAGTAATGAAACATTGAAGTTATATAGTGATGCAAACAGTTATCCACAGCGTCCATCACATATCAAATTTCTTTCGGTATATTTACATCACACTCTTAGTTGCTTAGCAAGTCTGTCGGACCTACTTACTGATTCGGTACTCATATTTTTATAAAAGCCTTCTTTAATGTATCTTGAAATCACGTACAAAATCAGGATTCGTGAGCAGATAATCGGAAACGTCAACTTCTTCGATCGCTTGGAGGATTTTACCACTTTTTTAAGGTTAAATTTCAACTGGTGGATGATATTCATCTTCTCAATAGTAGTATATGCCGGTGGAATTCTATGTAACTAGATGTGTAGACAGGACTCATGATTGAAAGAAATTTTCAGGACTTTCAAAGATGTGAATGTATTCTGCATTTCAACACCAAAGTAAGAAGTTAGTCTTACACTCTATCATCTCTTCCAATTTTCGTAGTTTCACTGATTTCATTGTTCAGTGTTCTTCAGATATTTTTTATCAAACCAATCATATGAGGATCGTGCATAGCCAGACAATTTGTAGTCGGTTGAAGACCATTAGAATGTGAAATTTAGCCTGAACGTCAAATAGATATTAACATGTGTGTAGTCAGCTCAACATTTGTATGACAAGAACGCCTAATCAACTTCTGAAGAGTATTCAAAGCATATCATCCTGATAAGGTTTTGTATCTTCTACTTCATCATCTAGTTCACTACCTTCTGAAATGTTCTATGTTAACTGTTAGACCGGAAGGTTATAGTCTATGCTCAAAAGTTCCAAAAAGATCATTAATCATCATCACTTCACCGAAGGCTCTTAGGACTGTTTTCGTGAGGTACTTCGGTCTTAGCAATTCGTCTAGAATATCTTCTGTTTCATAAGTACTACAGTTCTGCTATCGTCAGTTAGAACTAACAGTTAAACAACTATCACTTCATGTGTATTTATTGCTTATTATAGTTACAATGAATCTAATCGCACCGTGAGATTCGGTTTAGGGTTAAGATTAGGATAATGTGTGCATACATCTGCACCACTGACATCAGTTCTGAATCATATCGCCTAGAGTCTCCAATCACTGGTTTTTCTTGTCCGGTAACTTTAAATAAAATCACCGTTATGATCTTGCTAGAAAGCAATGTTTTTTCAGAAAATTCCAAACACGTGTAGGCAGGAAGCCTTAAAGTCAAACTTGTAGCTAGTTTGTTTTGAGATCATTTGATTTGATTTTCAATATAATTGTGATAACCTAGAGATGAAAGGATGTACTGCATGAGCACCTAATAATGCAAACACTGGATGAGCTAAAAATATCAGTGTTGTTGTCAAACTTTCATCATCCAGTTAGTTACATAGCGGAAAGCTAAACCATAACAATAGTAATAATAATAATAATAATAAATTAGCCATTGCCAATAGTCGATGGAAATTGGAGTAAGTGTTAATCATAATTATTAGCCGCTAAAGCATTTTCAGAAGCCTCTTTATCAGTCAACACTGTAATCTTAATAGACTTTAAGGTACTATGAAAGTGAATGAATAAGTGAATACAAGGAGACGAATTGTTCATTGATTCCCATGTATTGGTTGAATATCTAGACATTAGTGAATATTGAGATATTTGTAAGAAATGTTTATAAGTGATAAACGTAAGGTTTGAACGAAATATTAGGATAATGAATCTGAAATTCAAAGTGTTCAAACGGTTCTTGTTCATTATAACTAGTCAATAACCATTCTAAGTATGAATAATCAAGAAGTAATCAGTTGAGCGTACCGATGTTATTTGTTTAAAAACTAGGTATAATGATGGAAATTAATGATTATAAGCTTATCCTTGTCTGTTTGTAGTCTCATCTTCTATACACGGATAAAAGCTTATTAGCTTATTACAGAAATACTCTTATTTTGAAAATGATAAATTATGTGTGAATGAACTGAACCTTACTGTGATTTATAACAGAGAAAACTTGTATTTTCTTTCTAAGTCACAAAATCTTTCTTCTGAAGAGATCCTTTTTCTACTGATCTATTTTCCGTTCAAAATTGAATTGTCAGATGATCAAGTATAGCCATGACTAACAGGAATTTTCAAAGTAAACTTTATTTAAAACTAAACTATGTATTCAGTTTCACATTAATAACTTAACGTATAAATAAGTGAAGGAAATTCTGGAAAGTTTTAGGCTCAGCTTATAGCAAAATCATATATTGTACCAAACATCCTAAGGTTGCACTTTCTGGAGGTCTGGGCTACCAGAAATTTTCCACGGAATTTATTTCATCAACTTCATATCTTTCAGTATGTTTTAATCCTTTAAATTTGTAGTTAAAGGGCGTCAGGTACTCTTATGAACTTTTAAAATGGTGTCAACCTGATGTTCGTCAAGCTAACAACAAAATAAAGAATAAACAATAGGTCGGGCTTACAAATACAAAGAAATTTAGTATATTACTATTCCTTAGAAAACTATGTCGAATTACTGATTTTGGTTCTGGCTAATTAAACTGACACCATCAAAATTACGCTTGTTATTCTATTCATTCACCAGTCCAAACCAAACACTAATGTAATACCGGATGCCCCTTTCACTTTGCGGCTTTTATTACTGTTATTATTAGCATTATTCGAACGCAATGGTTACTTCTCTTGAAGATATTGTACAGGGAATGAATTTGTCGAACTGTTAACTACTGAGAATTCCGTACTGTAATACAAATCTTGTTTGTGATAAAAATATTATAATTATCGTTGTTATTGTGGTAAAACGATCGGAATGAGACGTTTCTACATCTGATGCATTTATTCAGAAAATCAGAATCTTAACTATAGTGCCGATGTGCACGTGAGATATCTGACCACGAAACGACCAATTGTTAGAATGAATATCATGACTATAGCAGATAAATGACTGTGTAGATAAAATTTATCGGGTAGCAAACGAATACTATTGAAAACCTTAGAATTCACGAAGATTTATTCAGCAAGTCAAAGAGTAACCACTTCATAACCTCGTACGTAAATTAATTGTAGTAATCAATAATAAAAGTGTTAATTACGATAGTCATAGATAAATGTTGCTATTTGGAGGTGTGGAGCTTGAATGATCTTGTGTTGAGGAATTTATGAGACTTTTGTGCAATTCAACCAACTGGTTTTCAACATTATCACAGTCAATGTTATTTCTTCCATCCATGATTCATATGTCCTTAAACATTGTAGTCTACAAACTTCGTGTATGAACCAATTGATTATAACACAAAATAAATCATAGAAACTGTATATTCCCTTCCAGCGTGTTTCTGTAATGAGTAGGCGTTACTACAGCGTATAAAACTGACCATCGGTAATGAAACGAAAACAATGTAAATAGGCATTTTCTTTTTACCATATACAATGCAATATATATCCTGTTCTCTAGATTTTAAAGGGAATTTTTCAGGCAAACTATATCATCTTATTATTCTTTCAAAATGGTACAGCATACAGAAGAGATGAAAAAATTTTGTATACATGATAATTGTGTTGCATATAAAATTAAAAAATTGAAGTTGATAAGTACCTGTAATGACTGCTGATGTTAAAATTGAATTTTGAAATTCAGTATTCATCGAATAAACATTTTTACTGTTTTTAAAAAACATTTGAAAACGTTATATTCATCATCAAGCCAGCATGAAAATCACTTCCTTTAAATTAACTTGAAATATGGTTATCTGAGTGTTCGTTCAAGTGTAGTCTAACTGTAGCGAAAACCAGCGGTCTACTTTAACTTTGGGCTAACTTATTCTTCCACTGGACATACATATCAAATTTGTTTATTATTATTTTTATTAGTCCCTTGGGTTCCTAATGGAACATAGGGCTTCAGTAGAACGTCTCCAGTGACCTCCGTTCTCCGAAATCTTTTGAATCTGGCTCCACGACAGCCCACAAGCTCTCATTTCCTCCTCGCACGATCTCCTCCATGTCACCCTCGGACGTCCAACTCGTTGCTTCCCATCGGGGTTCCACTCGAGCAACTGGCCTGATGCGTGATGTCCTCAGTCGGCCTTCTCAGAGCATGCCCAATCCATCTCCACTTCCTCTTATTGCATATTTGTTGCGTGATAGGTTCTTGGTTGGTTCGTTGCCAGAGCTCCTTGTTGCTTATTCTTTCTGGCAATCCATCTGATCTTCAGTAGCGAGTGAGCGTAAGCAGTTGTTGATGAATGTCTGTAGTTTACTGGAAATCCCTTTCGTAACGCGCCAAGTCTCTCAACCATATAGAAGCACTGACTTGACTGGATTGGTGTTGAAAATCCGTATCTTGTTCCACATGTTGAGTGCAGAAGATCTCCACACTGGTTTCAGGCTAATGAATGCCTGTCTTGATTTTCTGATTCTGACTTTGACATCCTCATCTGTCCCGCCTGTAGTTGAAACAGTGCTTCCTAGATAAGTGAAGGAGGTTACTTCCTTTAAGTTTCTCCTGTTGATGGTGATTGAAGCTTGTTGTTGATGCTGTTGTTAGTTGGGTATCTTCATCACCTCTGTCTTCTCTATATTCACTTGAAGTCCCGTCTTCGCTGCCTCTTCTGTCTTGTTAGTTTTCGCTGTTTCTCAGGTTAATGAAAAAAACAGTGGAAAAATGTCACCTTATGTGGAAGTAGACTTTTAGTATGCTCTAATGATAAAAGTTCATGATGATTACTAACTTCAAGCCAATATATCTCTCAAAATTGTAGCAATTTATAGTTGTATTATTAGGCTTCCTTATTTTACTGGAAATCAAACGATGAAAACCAGGATGATTTGTACGAAAAATCTACCTAATGACAATCAGATTACTTAAATTCTCCTCTTCTGGCCAATTTCTCAACATTCTAGTGATGGATATAAATATAAGGTATTTGTAGTCTACAGGAGTAAGACAAAGTTGCCACCTACTATCACCTATCATCTTCCTGATTTTGCTGGACTGGATCATGCACCAAACTTCTAGGAACGAGAAAATAAGCATACGCTGGGTTGATTAAAAGACCCTACAAGATTTTGGTTTAGCCCATGGTGATTTATGTCTAACGTCCAGGCCATCTCAGTTATTAGAAGTTCTCAACCTCATCGACTGACTTAGTTTATGTAACTAGTTACTTTCGCCTAAACTCGACATTCCTCATCCAATGATCCCACTGTATGTGAACAATGCTCACAAGATATCTGTGTTTGAAGATTTGTGATCACTTTGCGTCTCCTACTTTGAACTGTCATATCTGACAACCATGTTATAGGACAGAGTGAGCTGCCGCCCAGTATACTATTCTTTCAATAGGCAGTTGTTTATCTCGCCGGTAGACGCTAGACGAGATGGAAGTTGATAAATGCTAAATGGGCCTTCTGTATCTTAATTGAGTCTTAGCAATGCATAGAGAAAGTCATTACTATTGACACATAGTGAAATGACAAATAGGGCATCGTTGGTCAAAGAAGTTGCAGAAATTCTTCCACTAAAATCCATCCCATTGTATTGCTGCTTTTCCTCAGAACTCACTTTTGCTGCTGTAAGAGATTCACAACAGTGTAGATGATCAGTGCAAATAGTATGCAGTTGTATCCTTTAAATACTTAGCTTGAGTTGGAGTTTCTTGATGAACTTCCGCCACCAAACTTAAGTTTAGTGTAATTACGCTAGCGTTTCTGTTGATTCTTCATTTCCAACCGGAAGCTAATCAAAAATCAGGCAACTGTTTCATAATTTTGCCTCTGACAAGGTTATTCTTAACATTATTCAGCTGCAATAATTACATGCTAAGAATTCAATACTCTATCACACAAAGAATAAAATGATTATTATCATTATGATTATGATCTTTTTACCAATAAACCTTCTAATAGTACTTTAGTGTACCATTTTTCAAATAAGGTTGCTTAACAATTATTGGACTAGTGTGAAAATGACTTCCATACAATTATGAATGTGTAAGCATCAACCAGAATGAATAGTTGGAAAAAAGCTCTCATATTAAAGTCATATATAGGTCATTCATAAAAGAAAATGTCAATTAACGCGATTTCTGGATGTAATACTTTGAAGTGGTTAAGTTTTTTTCTACACAAAATGAAATCATCAAACCGGAAATCCTAATTATAATGCATTTTTCAGCATCTTGTAACAACAACAGCTTTTTCCCAAGATGTTAATTACAAAGACTTAAATCATAAGTCTACAAGAATTTTAAATCAGACAGATCACTATGAGAAAAGTATCTAATTATTACTGTAAACATTTCTGTTGCACAAACCAATCCACCTTTAGATTTTAATTTCATGAATAAAACTACCACCTGTTAACAAATGTAGAATGAACAGATTTGTGGAATTAAATTTGAAAAATTTTATAGAAACTGATGATTATTATTATTAATTTAGTTGCAATAACTTGGTAAGTGGTTAAACCACAACACTACACAAATATCTCCAAGCTTTCAAATTAATAAGTCAACAAAATGTATAAAAATTACTACAGTTTTCTGAAGTTATAATTATCACCACGATCATTATTACTGTTTCAACCCCCCATTATTTCAGTTAAATCTTCCTCATGGATTATAGTCTTTAAATATCATATATATACGAATGTACAGCTTGAAAATAAATTCATTGAAAAGAGTCCTTTTCGCTGAATATCTTGTTTTTTATTTCAATAAGACATTTTCAGACCAACTGTTGCATACTAA